GCCAGTCTATCCGCTGACGGCTGTGAGGCACTAGACCATCCTTACGGGGCACCTCTGCCCTTCCCCTCAGCTCTCTTCTCTCACATGGCACTGCCTTGCTTTCTGAATGACTGCGGTCTGCGTTCTCCACCACTGATAAGGCAGTGGCCCCAAAACACCAAAACAGAACAACCACCACCAAAAAACCACTGCTTTTTTTCTTTCGCCCTTCCTACAAATTATTTTTAAACATCTGTGGTCATGACAGCAGCAAATCAACAAGTACTCGACTGCCACCCCCTTATCGGAACCCACTTCCCTGTGGCCGTCTCCTCCTCAGTGGTCCTTGTCACTGCTGGACACTGCTGTAACACCCAGTGGGGAATGCCAGGCCCGAATGGGAACGGCTGCCCTTGACCTGGTCCGCAAAGGTCCCAAGTTCTAAAATAAGAAGTTCCCTCTGAACAGAACTCATCACCAAATCAAGCTGAGGCCGAGAGACAAAGACAATTACAAATCCTAAAAACAAGGAGTTAAGTAGGGAGTGTGGTCGGGCAGGGAGAATTGGAGGAGGAGGCATCAAAACACAAAGTTTTCTAGAGTCTACAACAGGAAAAAAAATATTACAAAGCACCCACCATCAAGACACCTTGCAAAAGAATCCACACGGAGAGGATGAAAAATGAGATATAAAATACCAGAAAGCTCTAGTAGGGGCGCCTGGCTGGCTCACTCAGGAGCATGAAACTCTTGATCTCAGGGTCACAGGTTCAAGCCCCAGGTCGGGTGTAGAGGTTACTAAAAAAAAAATAAGTAAACCTAAAAAAAGAAAGTTCTAGAAGAATATACAAGAAATGGCTGTTTCCTCTGAAGTTACCTATACATTTTACTAATCTGTTTCATTTTTACAATTTAAAAAAGGAGAAAACAGAACTACTTTGAAGGCTCTCATATATATGATCATCGCAAGTATAAAGTTCTCAAAATCTCCATTTCTACAGAGGCCACGAAGTGAAGGGACTTGCTTAAGGTCAAGAAATATATGCAGAGCTGGGACCTAAACTTCTTCTTTCCATTTCCAACTCTGGAGACTTCAAGGTATAGGTGACTGAGAAGATTCTACGGGCAGGAGAAAGGAGATGTGAACCCCAAACTTGTCTGGCTAGATTTACAAACCAAGAAAAGAGCCTAATCCCCCAGTGAAGGGCCCTGACCTCTCCAGCTCCTACCAGAGACAGGAGCTGCTGGTTGTTAACAAGCCCTTGCTCTCTGGACACAGAAGTTAAAGGCGTGGAAATACTTCTCCATCCTTTAGATGCTTATGGCACAGTCCTACAGCTACGTCTGGGTCTTCCAGGTACTTCCAGGCTTGTGCCACAGTGGAGAAAAGGACTCAGGCAAATTAGCACCATCTAAGCAGCTTTACATGAGCCTAAAATAAACTAATGAAGCCACAGGTTAAGAATTAGCAAAATTCTGGGGTGCGTGGGTGGCTCAGTTGGTTAAGCATTTGCCTGCCCTTGGCTCAGGTCACGATCCCAGCATCCTGGGATCAGCCCGCATCGGGCTCCCTGCTCAGCGGGGAGTCTGCTTCTCCCTCTGCCTCTGCCCATCCCCCACTCATGCTCTCTAATAAATACAATCTTAAAAAACAAAACAAAACAAAAAGGAATTAGCAAAACTCTCCAAACGTAGGACAGGTGGCCTCAGCAATCAATCGACCCACACTGACCAAGCCCATTCTGCATCAGGCCTCTGCTGGACAGTCAAGAGACGAGGGAGCCCACAAGACAGCCCTCAAGTCAGCTCTGTTGTCTGGGGGTGGCATGGGGATTACAGAGGAAGGAAACCCAACTCAGATAAGGGGAGTTAGGTTCCTGGAGGTAGCACTGGAGCTGAGCAATGAGGGTTAAGTGGGAAGGGCTGAAGCAGGATATTCCAGGCAGAAGAAATGGAAATGTGCATAGAAATGAAGGGGGTGACAGCAAGTAGTTCAGTAAGAGTGTAGGGTTCAAGGACGGCAGAAGGGAATGGAAAGGAGAAAAGAGATCAGTGGGTCCCAGGTCTAGAATGCCAAGCCACAAAGTTTAAATTGTATCCTGATGGCAAAAAAGATTCATGGAAGGGTTTCAGTTTTTAGAAAGATCAATCTGGTGACTGAAAATGGATTAGAAGGAGGAGCTCTAAAGGCAGAGGCTGGTAAAAGGACCACAGCACTGATGAAGGCTGCCGGTGAGAGGCAGTCCTATGGGAGAACTCGTGGTCATCTGAATAGGAGGGAGGGAAATCAGGTCTCCAGTGAACTCGGGTTCCAGAGAGCACCACACAGAGTGCTGGGCTGGGCTCTAGGTGAAAGGAGCTGCCAATCATGCATATGAACTTCACGAATGCCCCGCAGAAGAGAAAAAGGCAAATAGGCTGGAACAAAGTTAACAGCTTAATTTGGAGCATTGGCTTCCAACAGATTCATTCTGGCTCTGGGTAAACACAGACAGCATAATAGGACACCTCATCTTTAATCCACCCACAACCAAAGAGGCTCAGCAGGGGGAAGTGAGTTACAAGAGGCCACCACTGTATCTATGCCCTTTGCTCCCCTAGTACCTGCCTCCAAGCCACCATTTGTATTTTTAGTAAGTTCCTGCCCAGCTCCAGACAGAAGGAGAGTGTGACTTGTTTACATGCAAACACACCCCCTACAGTCTGCCTACCACTACTACTTGACAGAGGAAATTCTTTTTTGCAGAGCAAAGGCCCATAGTGGAGGCCAAGGAGACTTGCTCATCATCTCCTACCTAAATTCATCAAGGCTTTGCTGTTCTGGTGATGTGCGGTATTTCTCCCACAGCAAGGGTCTCTAGGCACCCTATACAGCTCTTTTCCAGAGGAACTGTACATGCAGAATACCAGATTCAGACCTCCCCACCATCTGAAGAGATGACGAGGATGTGCTGTTAAAATATGCCATTTTTGGGGCACCTGGGTGGCTCAGTCGTTAAGTGTCTGCCTTCAGCTCAGGTCATGATCCCAGGACCGTCCTGACCGTGCTGGGCTCCCTGCTCAGCAGAGGCCTGCTTCTCCCTCTCCCACTCCCCCTGCTTGTGTTGCCTCTCTCGCTATCTCTCTCTGTGTGTCAAATAAATAAATAAAATCTTTAAAAAATATATGCCATTCTATGGACCCCGCACAGATCACCAATAAGCCCTTTGCAAGTATTACTCATCAGCTATCAAATATCAGCATTTTTCCAGGTGCTGAGAATCGGTTCATTTGGAGACTATTTTTGTTTTTTGTTATTTTTAACGTTTTTTTTTTTTTTTTTTTAAGATTTTATTTATTTATTTGAGAGCGAGAGCACAAGTGGAGGTAGGGGCAAAGGGGGAGAGAAAGAGAGAAAGAGAGAGAGAAAAGGTGAGGCAGACAGACTCCCTGCTGAGCAGGGACCCCCCCACACACACAGGGCTTGATAACAGGACACGGAGATGACCTGAGCCAAAGTCAGATGTTTAACCAAGTGAGCCACCCAGGCGCCCTTATTTTTAACTTTTTTTTTTTAAACATATAATTTTTTTAAAGATTTTAATTTATTCATTTGAGACACCGAGATAGAGAGCGAGAGAGAGAGAGAGAGAGCACGAGCAGAGAGAGAGGCAGAGAGGGAGAAGCAGGCTCCCCAATGAGCCAGGAGCCCTATGTGGGGCTTGATCCCAGGACCCTGGGATCATGACCCGAGCCGAAGGCAGACGCTCAACCATCTGAGCCACTCAGGCGCCCCTATTTTTAACTTTTGAAGTAATTTTAGACATACAGAAAAACTGTACACAGAATTCCTGTATAACTTCATCTAGATTTCCCAAATGTTAACATTCTACCACATTTATCATTATTTCTCTATATCTACACATACTCATTTTTTCCTGAATGATCCAGCATTTGCCCCTAAATACTTCAGGGTGTATTTCCTAAAAACAAGAATATTCTCTCACATAACCACAAAACAATTATGCAAACCATGAAATTAACACTGACAGACTGTATCTAATCTATAGACCTTTTTCAAATTTTATCAACTGTCCCACTAATGTCCTCGAAAGCAAAAGAAAAGTCTTCCCCTGCTCTCGAATCCAATCTAGAATTCTCCATTCCACTTAGTTATCGTGTCTCTTTGTTCTCCTTTAATCTGGAACAAGAGTTCCTCAGTTCTTTGTGACACTTTGAAGAGTACAAGTCATTTACTTCACAGAATATTCTTCTATTCGAGTTGGTCTGAGGTTTCCTCGTAATTAGACTCACATTACCCACTTTGGACAGGAAATCCAGAGTGGTGGTGTGTCCTTCTCAGTGCATCCTCTCGGGATGCATTCCCGGAATATCAACTTTGATCTCTCGGTTGAGGTACAATCTGTCAGGGTTCTCTAAAGTCTCTCTCTGTAATTAGTTAAAAAGTATCTTGGGAAGAGACATCTCTTCTATTTCACAGCAAACCTTTCCGTTAGGTTTAGCATCCATCAAGGATTCTTTTTTTTTTTTTTTTTTAAGATTTTATTTATTTATTTGACAGAGAGAGACACAGCAAAAGAGGGACCACAAGCAGGGGGAGTGGGAGAGGAAGAAGCAGGCTTCCTGCGGAGCAGGGAGCCCGATGCGGGGCTCGATCCCAGGACCCTGGGATCATGACCTGAGCCGAAGGCAGACGCTTAATGACTGAGCCACCCAGACACCCCTCCATCAAGGATTCTTGACTGAAACAACTTTTACTGCTATGGTGATGGTCATACACAGATTTTTTTCACTTCATCGCTCCTGCTTTATTCTTCTATGAAAAAAAAATTTCGTCTCTCCCCCAGTTATTTACTTATTCATTTATCTATCAGTATAGACTCATGGGTTCTTTTTTTTATTCAATGGGTTATAATCTATTATTTACTTGATCCTCCAACTGTCCCAGATTTCAACAGGAAGAGCCCCTTCAAGTTGGCTACTGTGTCCTTCTAACATGACCCATAATTCTTCCCCCCCACCCACAGAAAGCAGAAAAATAATTTATTCCAATAGATGGCAGAAATAAGAAAGTCATCCTGAAAATATACTTTGGTGCAATTCTGTTGGGACAGACAGTTCCTCTGAACATGCTCTCCTACTGACTGCCCCTTTGGATTCTGTCTTGTGACAGTTAAACACTTTGCTGATGCCCATGTTGTGACCAGGCAGGAGTCATCTTCAAATTCACAGGTTCCAAGGAGAGAGCAATGTATTTCTCAGAAGAATAGCACCTTCTATCTCAGAAGAGTGCACAAACACTTTATAGAGTCAGCACAGTTTCGGTTAAGTAGGCACATAATTCGTCAAAATGTAAAAAAGGCTGACAGGAAAAAATACTGCATTGTAGAATAAGATATTAAAATGTGGTGTGAATATTTAAGGCAGCTGATGGCCAAAAGAGGCAAGTCAAAGGTGGTCTGGGTTTGGAGTTGATTTTGCATCTAGAGGAATTCTCCTCGTGACCTCAATGATGGAGCCCTGGAGAGCAGGTCTTCCTCCTTAAGGCCAATGATACTTGAGGTACCAGATGGTTTCATTTTTCAACTGTGGTCCAAAGAGAGGGTTGAGTTGGGCCAGAATTGCAATCGGCCAAAAGAGACAGCAGCAAACTGAACAGGTTACCAACATGGTGATGATAACTCCCCGGTTGGGACCCTTAGGGATGAACCAGAGCACGCAGAAGCGGACAGAGCCCGAGAACACGTTCGTTACGAGGAGAGGCACCGTAAGGCCGTTATGCGCCATGGCTGTCACTGGAGCTACCAGCCCCTGCCCAGCCGCCTCACTTTGGTCCCACCCCATGACCCATCATTCTTTGAGCACATCTTTACTTTAACAAGCAGGATCTGGGCATGAAGTGTATTCATGGCTTGCTACCAGAGTGTCCTTGCTTCTAAGCCCTCTCAACAAACAGAACTAGGAAGTACACATGCATACATGTGAAGACACACACATACACACATCTATTTCTGTATCTACACAGAAAAACCATGAGTTCATCTGGTGACTCCAATTCCCATCTGATCTCACAGCCTTTCCCACCTTCCATACTTATAGGAACTCCCTTTTCTGGCAATAAAAAAAAATCTGATTCTCATTATCCACAATATATTTACCTATCTGCTCAATTCTAGAACAAACAGTAACTAGTTTCAGAATTGCTAACCCATACACCACTGTGAAAAACAAACCTACTAATTAGAGTTCGGTATTTGTTTATAGTTCTTTTTTCTTTAGTCTGAGGGTATATATTCAAAAGCTGCATGGGTTAGTTCCTTTTTCCTGCCTCAGTATAGTAATGGCCTCATTTGAAATAAATACTTAATATGCTGTAAAGTAAGAACACAAATGAGCGCAAAACTGTGACACAGGACATGGGTACCCCCTCCCCTGTGGCAGTTTCCCTCTAATTGGCTGGGCCTTCAGAAGCTGTGGAGCTTTACGAACATACAGATATGCCAGGCTCCCCTAGTTATTTTGAGCCAATAAATCTGAGCTAGGACCAGGGAATCTGTATTTTTCAAATGTTCCCTGATTCTGATATCCTATCAGTTGGAGAATGACTGGCTGTAACAATAAAAGCCTAGGGGAGCCTGGCTGGCTCAGTCTCCGGGAAGACCATGCGACTCTTGATCTCAGGGTCGTGAGTTCGAGTGCCACACTGAGTGTAGAGATCACTTAAAAATAAAATCTTAAAAAAAATAAAAATAAAAGAATAAAAGGCTTTTAAAAAGCAGGGCCCTGATGATCTCCCCTCCAGCCAGCTCTGAGAGAGTTCGTACTGGTCCCCTGCAGGGACTGCTCCTCTACCTGCAATCTTCTCACCTCTCTTCAGCCCCTAGCAAACACTTCTTCTTTAAAAGCCAGCTCAGATGTATTGTCCTCTGCGAAGACTCGTCGGCTCCCCAAAGATGGCCAGACCCCCCATTCCCTGAGCTCCTCGGTAGTTTATTATGAAGTAATTCACACATGCTGAAGAACAGAACAGCACAACACAACAGCCTTCTCCAGAGCCCTGTTACAGCTCTCTTCACGAGGAGAAGTATTTGTTTCTCTTTTCCACTGGCAAGCATCTGATGAGGATTCCCAGGCACCAGATCTGGCATTTAGCAGGTGCTCAAACAATGTTTGGTTAAGATTATTTTCAGCTTTAATTCTGTGGCTCAAAAACGGCCTAAGTACTTTTCCACGACTCATCAGAACAGAGACCGAGAAAGTTCAAATTGCCAAGGATTCTCTGCTAAGTAATTCTCCTTTTGTGATGAAGCCCATCTCTTCCTGCTCTGGGCTCAACCTGCATGTTATTGTTCATGCTGGTAAGTGAATGCTGTTTCCATACTAGACCTGATATTTTTAGCACTCCTGTTATGATAAACTCACAGTAACCTCAAAAAGAACAAATCAAAGTCAACTTTTTGCCACAGGAAACCAGCTCACGCTTAATGTTTTGCAACATGCCATGGGAGAATAATAAAAAGATGAGATCTTTTGCTCACAGATGGCGAGGCCAACTCTCAAGATAGTGGAAAAATGCAGCAGGAAGCATGCAGTCTGGCCACTATCTTATTAAGTAAACTGGAAAAACACTCGACACTCAAACCAGGCAAACACACACGCACACAGACACCACAGAGCAGCTGCTTCACCAGAGGCCGAACTGTGAATGGGGCAGTAAGAAACACCTGCGTGTGAGGGGCTGGAATCGAGCCTGATGGGTGCCTGAGAAATGGGCAGGCAAGAAGATCCTGCAGGGACACCAGTGGGCAGGCTGTTCTCCCTCTAGAGTGGACCAAATGATCAGACTAGCAAAAGCCAGTCACTCAGGCAAAAAATACTTACTTACGGAGCACCTACTATGTGCTCTATTGGGTGACAGTGAAACAAAGTCGGGTCCCCTACGAGGTTTTCTTGGGCGTGCACCATAGCCGAGCAAGCACTGCGACCTCACTAGGAATTCCTAAGGCATCATTAGGTGTATAAGTCACCTTCCTAGAAGGACTCTTCGGAACAAATTCCAAGGACCAGGAAAAACTGAAAACAGCTTACATGCCTTTCAAGATGAAACTGGTCACAAACAATGGTACACCCAAAGGAATACATCATGCAGCCAACAAGACATAGGAGGTCACTCTATACATGCTCCAAGATCTTTCCATCTCACTTAAGGCAATCCAGTAGAAAAAAGCAAGCTGCTTTAATAGTTTGGTTTACATATGCACATGCATGATTATAACTGTTAATCATTTTCCAAGAAGACAGGAGTCTTTTTTTTTTTTTTTTTAAGATTTATTTATTTGAGAGAGAGAGAGCAAGCATACAGTGGGAAGAGGCAGAGAGAGAATGCCAGGCAGACTCCATCCGCAGCATATAGCCCGATGCAGGGCTCAATCTCACGACCCTGAGGTCATGAGCTGAGTCAAAATCAAGAGTCGGATGCTTGGGGTGCCTGGGTGGCTCAGTCGATCGTCTGCCTTTGGCTCAGATCATGATCCCAGCCTCCTGGGATTGAGCCCCGAGTGGGGCTCCCTGCTGAGCAGGGAGTCTGCTTCTCCCACTCCCTCTGCTCCTCCCCACTACTCGTGTGTGTGTGCTCACTCGCTCTCTCAAATCAATAAAACTTAAAAAAAAAAAAGTTGCATGCTTTTTTTTTTTTAAGATTTTATTTCTTTATTTGACAGAGAGAGACACAGCGAGAGAGGAAACACAAGCAGGGGGAGTGGGAGAGGGAAAAGCAGGCTTCCCGCGGAGCAGGGAGCCCGATGCGGGACTCGATCCCAGGACCCCAGGATCATGACCTGAGCCGAAGGCAGACGCTTAACGACTGAGCCAGCCAGGCGCCCAGAAGAGTTGGATGCTTAGCCGACTGAGCCACCCCAGATAGGCAAGAAATTCTTTCTAAATTGGAGATTTTTTTTTAAGATTTTATTTATTTGAGAGAGAGAGAAAGAGGGAGAGCAAATGAGCACAATCAGGGGGAGGAGCAAATGGAGAGGGAGAAACAGGTTCCCCACTGAGGAGAGAGCCCGATGGGGAGCTTTATCCCAGGACCCCGGGATCATGACCTGAGCCAAAGGCAGACGCTTAACCGAATGAGCCACCCAGGTGCCCTGGCAAGGAATTCTTAAACAGTTTCCCCCACAAATTGGAAGTGGGGAAAATGGGGAGGGTATAACGAAGAAAACTTACCCTTTTACACCATTGTGAATTCTTTGAAAACTGCTTACTGTGATACTTTTTCAAAAAAATAAAACTCAAGTGTCTCTTGGGGGAGGAGGAAGACTATCTGGGTCAGAATTCAGATAATCTTTGTGTCTAACACATATCTGAACCAGGGTTTTCTGTACTGTGGTGGTGATCCCATTTCTCTAACATGGAGAGCTCCTGATTTACAGTTTAACAAAATCACTTAGCTTAGAGGTGCATATTACAGATGTAAGGAGCAGAGTTCATGGATCTGGTTCTGTCTATAAAACCAAGCATATGCCCAAGCAAGTCACAGCCACGCTCAACCTTGGTCTCCTTCAAGAAAATGGGACAGCAACTATATTTCAAAGGTTATCACAATAATAATGAGAATATGTCAGATGCTCAGCACAGTGCGAGGTAAAGCAGCAAGCCACGTTCAGTACACAATAACCATTCTTACACACCACATGAAAACCACAGTAGTGCCTGAAAAGCCGACCACTCAACCTGGATATTCCCTAAGGCCATCCCACACACTGAAGTCAGACGTTACCATTGTTTGATTTTATAATAACAAAACTAAGGCCATTTTAGAATTATATCAATTTCAGGTGTGCAAACCTTGACTTAAAAAAACAAACCAACTCTCCTCAATATGTGATTGGAAAATGTTCTGAAGAGAGTCAAAGGAAAATATTCAATAGTCTAGAAGCTGTGCCCCGGCACTCGTTTTTCACATTTACCATCTCAGTACATCTCTTAGAGCCAAGGGAAGGCAGTGCTATCCCCTAGCCCCCTCAGCCCCAAGTTAGGAACCTAGATCTGAATGAAGCTCATGCACCAAAGGTTAAGCCTCTTGATAAGGCGGAGAGATGTGATCTGAGATCAGCTCTGTAAGCCTCCAAAGCCCATGCTTTTTCCAAGACACAAGACTGTATCAGTCTCTACTCAGGCTGTACTTTTACTGCCATGGTTAGCAGTCAAAACAGTCTGGGCAAAAAGAATGCTTCTAATTAAAATCAAACTTTGGGACTACGTGGAGGATATTGTTTGAATCAATTAATTTTTTAAAAATCACAAAACAACACCCCCCAAAACAAAACAAGAAATAACTTCTAGGGCGCCTGGGTGGCTCAGTTGGTTAAGCGACTGCCTTCGGCTCAGGTCATGATCCTGGAGTCCCAGGATCGAGTCCCGCATCGGGCTCCCTGCTCGGCAGGGAGTCTGCTTCTCCCTCTGACCCTCCCCACTCTCATGCTCTCTCTATCTCATTCTCTCTCAAATGAATAAATAAAATCTTAAAAAAAAAAAAAAAAAAAGAAATAACTTCTAGAATTTTTTTAAAGAAATACACTTAAACTAAGTTTTCTGGTATAAGTCATGAGTCCATGAAGTTGTTAATTATAAATATAAAAGTAGAGGGACGCCAGGGTGGCTCAGTCCATTAAGCGTCTGCCTTTGGCTCAGGTCATGATCCCCGGGTCCTGGGACCGAGTCCCACATAGAGCTCCCTGTTCAGCGGGGTATCTGCTTTTCCCTCTCCCTCTGCCACTTCCCTTACTTGTGCACTTGCGCTCTCGCTCCCAAATAAATAAATAAAATCTTTTTTTAAAAAAAGATACAAGTATAAAAGTAGAGAAATACAAGCCATAGGAATGATATTTTATTAGATTCACTGATTATTTAGACTCTGAAAAGATTTTCAAGACAGGCTGGCTGACTTAAGTCTTATCATTTGAGAAGCGAGGAAACAAAATCCTAGAGAAGCAAGTTATTTGCCTAAAGTCACAAAGACCGTTAACGGCAAGTGTATTTGGCAGAAGGCAACTTCACATGTGGAAGCTGCTATGCTTTCCTGCATAAATCCAATGAGGTCGAATTACGGGAGAATCCCATAGCTCCATGAATGGCTGAGCAGAAAATCG